CTGTACCCACTTCCCATTTTCTCACCACCCCGCCCTTCCCCAACACAGGTAGACCTAAGAAGACTATGCTAAGTGGAATGAGGCCAGCAGAGGCAGAGAAAGACAAACACTACATGTTCTCACTTATATGTGGGTGCAAAAGTTGATCTCAAACAAGCAGTGCATAGAAGAGCAGTGACCAGAGCTGGGAAGAGCGTGGGAGTAAAGAGCCTTTCTGTGCTCATCAAATGATCACACACCTCCACCTATCTTATAAAGAGTTCGAGTGTTTACAGTGACAGGGAAAAACCAGTGTATCAAAATCCAATTACTCGCTGTGATTACATTTTCTCCCTCTCTGAAAACATACTTTCCATTTAGCCTATTTTCATTCAGCCAGCGTCTTGAGCAACACTGCAAACTAACACAGGTAACAATCGAAAAGAGGTGCACGGCCAAGGTTCCGAGTAAACTGCTTACATTACCACTCAACAACTAAGGGCATTAATTAAATTCCCGGATCAGAAGGGACAGGGAAACAGTTCAGTCAGTCAATCTTCCTGGGCTTCCCATTGACCTTAGGTTTTCTGTAACTGTTCCCGGTAGCACAAAGGCTTTGGAATTATTACCCAAAACAGGGTCATACATAATTCTGCATAAACAACTTCCAAAATCCCAGATGGTGTTCCAGTTCTTTTGGTAACAAGAAGGACTACAGCACCGTTGGTGGTAACTTGGTTTCAGGAAGTAGAAAAACCTGGGCTTACATGTCAGATAAAGTAATTATTAGCTTTAGCCTTCTGACACCTCTGTGCCTCCCTTTCTCCATCTGTTGCACAAGAACAATAAAAGCACTAACCCCAAAGGGTGTTGTGAAGATTACCTAATCCAATTAAGGGAAGGCACACAGCTCATTGCTGGATTTGTAGTAAACACTCAACCAATCACAGTAACAATAGCAACAATATGATAACAATAAAAGCCACGCACCTTATCAGAAAGTGAGGCACAGGGAAACAGAAAGCTTGGGCTCTGATGCTGACTCCTATTAGCTATTTTAACCTCTTTGTCTAAAGTGTCCTTTGCGGTGAAAGACTGTTGTGAAAACTGTGATTACAGATGCAAAAGTATTTGGTAAATTATATAAATCTACATGATTAATGTCATTATAAACTCATTGAGAAGGCCATTGTTTTTTTCAACTCTATCAATAAGGTAATTGTAAAAGTACCTACAAAGTATAAATTTCTGCTTGATACTATCATTGTCATGGTTAAAGCTCTTTGATTCCAAGAAATCAAAGCTAAATCAAGCTGCTTATATTAAAAATAAGGTTTGTTAAGAGAATAAAACAAGAAATAGCATGGGTATCCATTGACAGATTAAACAGGCATTTATTGATTACTTATTTTGTCCTAGAAACTGTGCTGGGTTCTGATTATATCAAAGTGAGTTAAGTCTTTGATTCAAGAATTCAACAGCGTAATTGAGAGAAGAAAATGAAAACTCAGGGCGGGACATAGATAAGTGTGTGGTAAACAAACAGGTTCCTGTATACACAAATCTAAGCATGTAACAAATACATGTTTAGGAAGTACCCAGGTAATGGTGGGGTGCCACAGAGGAGGAAGTTTTGGCCAACATTTGAAGGAAAGGCTAGGAAAAGCATTATAGACAGAAGAAGCAATAATCCCAAGTCTCTGAGGCAGGAAAGAGCTCGCCAAATCAGAGAAGCTTCAAGGCATCGGCCAGGTGGTGCCTTGGTATGGCACATGGGGGTGGCTTAGGTCTAGGGTGGGATCATAAATCCAGTTTATTCATTCTCTCATACGTTCAACACATCTTTACTGAGTGTCTGTTCTCTTTCAGCACTTCTGTGAATCAGATTAAGTTTTCCCATGATGATGACTCTGCACTCTAATAAGGACTAAGGTAATTTTTTAAATAAATGTATACCTAAGAACATTTTTAGCATATAATGAATGTTAAACTGAGATGCTCTAGGAGTGTAAATGGGGAAAAGAAGGGAAATTATAATGGAATTGAAGAAACTCCGCATTTTTTATCTGTACAAGCAAACAATGAGGTGGAGGCAAGTATCCTAAGAGGTAGGAGAACGGAAGGAAAGCATGATGTCATAGAAATGGAAGGGTCGGTCAATGGTTGCTGAAGGACAATGAGGCATGGCCAAGCAGTCTGCTGACTCCACGGGCTCAACAGTGAGGAACTGATACTCCTTGTCTTTCGGGGAGGTCGCACAGTTATTTCCATTGCTCATCGGCAAGACTCTGCTTCCCTACTTCTCTTGGCAGACGGACTTCCTCTGGAGACTCCCAGCTATGCTATGCTCCTCCAGGACTCTGATTTACACGGCCATTGGCTTTGTGCCCTGTCACCTCCCAGCCCCAACTCTGCCTGAGATTTTAGTCCCAGCACTGCCACTGTCAGGCATGCTTAGCTTCTCCCTATTCCAGTTCATACTTACTAGGAAAGAGAATCTGATGGGTTTGCCTCACTCTGGGTGTTGAATTCTGCTGCATTTATCTGGAACCAAGGTGAAGGGAGTCTTGAGTGATGCCTGATGCTGTCTAACAAACTCCTCTCCCTTCAGCAATGGAGCTGGGGAGACCGTATAAGTTTTCTTCAATTTTTATTTTCTATTAGTACATGTTTGCATTGCATGATGGTTACATTCCTCATAGGGAATTGGTACACACATATAACATGTCTTCCTTCCTTTTTGATTCCCTTTCTCTCCCCCACCTACTCCCTCTGTCTCTTGGCCCCCTTCTCTTTTGCCAAAGATCCATCTCCTATTACCTATCTTTTACTTTGCTCTTTATTTATATTTTGGGTTTCTCATGTAAGAGAAACCATGCAATATTTAAGCTTGTGTGTCTGATTGATTTCACTTAACAGTGGTTTTAAGGAGTATGGCATGATCTTGGCATGTTCCCCAAGTGGACTGCTGCCCAATGTTACATGACATTCTCTCACGCCATGAGTGGATGCTCACGGCATGATCATGATCACGATCCCCATTCAGTCGAAGCACAATAAAGCACAGAGGCCTCATGTCTCAGGAAGGCAGACACAAATGCTGACTCACAGACCAGAAGGGAGCGCACATGGAATAAAGTAGCAAACAGTGATAACTTGGGAATGGTGGAGCCTGGAGCAAAGGAGAGAAAAGCAGCTTAGACAAAGGGAACAGCTGCTGTTCACCTCCATCTGATAGTGGTTACACAGCAATGTGGGCTTGGTGTTTGCCAGATCACTATGATGCAAAATTGGAAAGTTTCTCATACTATCAGGTGACAGAAGTAAAACGCACTCTTAACACGACCATAAAGAAAAAATAAAACTGATCTGCAGATGGACTCTAGCCCATAGGCTGACTTCTCTATTCTAAATCTTACACTATAAGTTAGAGAAATCCCTGAAAATCTACACATCAGGGAATGTTTAGAACACTGTCACTGTTGTCTTTATTATCAATATTTTTACTACAACTAAGAAGACATTTCAAGCAACATCCCCAATATTTTTTTTTGCTTAAATTCTTTCATTGGTACATTTTAGGTATACAATATGTTTACATTTTGGGATCTTGTACCTTTACATGATGTATCTTGGATCTTATTTTTTCCCCATTCCCTGTGTTCCCTTCCCTATTTACAAAGACTTTGTTTTCATTTTTTCCTTTTCTCTTGAAGACATTGGCATAGAAAACTTTATGAACATCCCAAATATTTTTAAAGTGAAATTTTATTTTCTTTTTACAAGAGTCCCAAGACAAAGACATTTACCCTTTTTTATATTGCCGAGAAAAGAATATTTGAGAGTTTAGGCAACTAGTCCAACTAAAAAGTCACCTATTTAGTTATGTATTTAATTAGTGATTAAGCAGGGAATTAGAATATGAGTCACCCTTCTCAAATGCCTGCACCTGTTCATTCAACAATTTGTAGGACAATTTCTGTCCCTAAGATTTCAGAATTTCTTCATCATCACATCAAGGCTCAAAAGATACTCAGATTCTGTCCTGGTACAGAATGATCATGTCAGTGGTTGAACCCTCTAGAATGAGCAAGTATCTCGGCTACCTTTGGGGATCCCCTAGAATTTCTCCCTTGTCGGAATTTCCCCAGGCAATTCTGAGCACCTGTGACATCCAATCAGCACCACATTGAATAGGATAATCATAAAATCCCCATTTCCTTTATTCTATTGCAACAGGGTGGGTGGGTGTGAAAGAATGGGTGTGGGGAATGTGCATTAAAGGGGAAGGAAGTGATTCACACACACGTTTGTGGTTTATGTATGACTCAGACAGAAGCTGGCAGATGCTTAGAAAATCCTTCAGACAAAATCATAGAGTCCCAAGCACATCTGTTTAAGAAGTGAAAGTTCTGCACATCAGAAGCCCGAGAAAATGCACGACAGGAAATGTGCTGGGAAGGGTCAGAGGCTGCGTCCTCCCTGAGGCTGCCTGGAATCTACTCTTCGCCCTGATTTGGGCCTGCTGGCTCTAATTTTGCCTCTGATGTAGGCCATCAGTAATTAAATCACTGCCCCGGCTCTCTGTTGCTAAAAAGGACTGGGTTTTAAAATAGATCCCCTGCTTAGCAGATTCTTGTGGGTCTGGGCTTGTCATCCAATTCTGATAAGCTCTCTGCCCCCCGCTGCTCCTCTGGCCTCACTGTTCCTTGCAGGAGAGCTGAGTCTTTGCAGCTCACAGCACAGAGCTTTTTAGGGTGGGCAGCACAGCCTCGGGAGGTTTGCACCTGGAAGGAATGGGATGCCCTTTCAGCTGGACAAGCATGGGCAGTGAAGTCCAGCAAACGGTACAACTGCAATACGAAGCCAGGCCTACTCTTTTCCACAATTTTTTACACTGCTGCTAGAAAGAATTCAGTAAAAAGACACCTCTGGAAGGAGGTGAAGACTCATGCTGCAACATAACCTGTAATAAAGGCTCTTTTTATTTATGGCAACAATAATATGGATCGAGAACTTACCGTGTGCCAGACATTTCCTTGGCTACAGTAATATCACCATCTCATTTAGTTTTCTCAAAAAAGGCTCATGCTCTGTTTCACAGATGAGGAATGTGAAGCTCAGCCTGCTCTGGTCCAGTAACACATGGGCAAGGCGTGCACAACAGAGCCAAGATCCAATCAAGGAGCTTTCCTCTCGGTCTTACACCAATGCCAAGACTGACCAGTGGCATTTTCTAGTCTTCCTGATAATTCAGTCTGGCTGGCATCCAGGCTGTAAACGCTTGGGCCTCCTGACCCACACACCGGATGCATTTTAGGTTTGGAGAGAACTGGTCCAGGGCTCCTCCACAGAGCAGCAGCTCTAAGAGTTAGAAATGCTTTGCAAGAGCTTTTGGGCAAATACCCTGATTTCCTGACAAAGAAACTGGCCCTTAATGAGTGACTTTCTCAGCCTAACTTTTAGACCGTGCCCAAATCTGGTGCACATTCTTTGGACAATACAGAATAGAAAATAAACGTAGGTCATTTACATAGAGGCAGAGAGAGCTACCGTCCTTCATCTCTAAACCACCAACAAATAGACCAACAAACTGGAGGAAGTTCAGAGTGATTCTCACACTCCATTTCTTAGATATTCTCATTAAATTCAGATCCAGCTAAGAAGATGGAAGGAAAAAAAACAACTGTATTCAGAGAGTTGATATTTTTCCTCCTGTTAAATTGAGCTGTGGGAGGTATCATATGCTGAACTAGTACATTTCAAAAGACAAAATCCCTAATGTTTTGCGAAGTGTTTTTCCCCATTAACATGTTGCTAAGCAACATTTTTACAACATCAGCAGCTCTATGACTACAAGCTCAATGAATGTCTGGAAACGTGGAAAGAACCAAAGGAGCAAAGAAAGAGAAAGCATTGGCCATGTTAGTGTACTTTCTCTGTTGTGAAAGTTGGGGTGACCTCAAATATGCTACAGTAAAGATGCTGGGGTTCTTTCTCCCACTTTAGTTAACAATAATCATGTGTAATATCCACTGGGCTTCTACCTTGGCTTCAGTTATATAATTTTTAAAATCAATCTCTACAATATGGGACATTTCAAAAGAACAGAAATATAAAATGCTACAACACCTCCATCAGTGAGTTTTATTTTTCTTTTTAATAATAATTTTCACTCATGGCCAATGTTCTTTTCTATATTTCTCTTACTTCCCCTTTATTTGAAGTAAATCCTAAACATGTCATTTTATCTGTAAATATTTCAGTATTTATCTGACAAAGATAAGGAATGTTTTTAAAAGAGAAGTGAACCATTTTTATTATTACTGTTTCAAGTGTTAAGCATCTTAAATATTAGCAAATATTCAGACTTCTAATATCCAATTATTTCATGTTTTCTCTTTTTAATATTTTAGTGAGAATTCAAGTACCACACAATTTCTTTTCCATTCACCTCTCTTTCTGTTTTCCTTTCCATTTTATTTAATAAAAAATTCAGAATTTTTGTCCTGTAGAGGCTCCTGAAATCTAGATTATAAAACCTGTATTCCAAGATTTATTGAAAATTGTTTGAATCAAAAACATTTGATCAGATTGAAGGTTAATTTTTTGTTTGGGGACAAAATAATTGATCAGTGATATTATACTCGTATATGAAGGGTCTTATAAAATCTGGATGCCTTTTTTGGTGATGCTACAATACTTTTTATGATACTGACTTTGATCCACTAATTGCAGATTGAAAAATAACACTCATTATGAGTCACTGTAAGTTTTTTTCTAGTGCTGGGGACCAAACCTAGGGGCAATCTTCCACTGAGCTGCATCATTAGACCTGTTTACTTTTTATTTTGAGACAGGATTGCTAGCTAAGCTGCCCAGATGGGACCCGAACTGGAACTGGTGGTCCTGCTGCCTCAGGCTCCCTCAGGGCTAGGATTACAGATCTATACCACCACACCCCGTTGAACCACTATACTTTTATAAAGAAAAATGTACTTTACCTATTTGTGTATCAAATGGTAGAGTCCATACAAAAAAGACAAGGTAAATATTTCACTTTTTTCTTGCTGTATTAATTTTTAAACTAATGGGTTGATTTAGTGGCCTCCTCCATCAATATCAGTTAAGATTTGTTTGCTTGGTTTTGCTATCCTCATGGAAGTAAACATTTTTGGTAGGTTTTAATCTTCAGCAGTTGTTCCCTTTGTTAATATTCAAATGATCCCACACGTAGCCAAGGAGAGACTGCAACTTGACCTGAATTCTCTTCTGGTGTTGTCCTGTGGAGGGAGAGCGAGAATTCTTGGCATGACGCTTTTGGGGAGAGTTCTTTAACAATTTTGTCTGTTTCTTCTATGGATGTCTAATCTTTTAGACCTTCTGTATTCACTAAGTTCAAATTTGATAGGTTAAACCCTTCTTAGGAATTGTCCATTTCATCTAGGTTTTTCAATTTGATTGCATTGAATTGTATAAAATAGTTTCTGGTGAATTTAAATATGCCCTGCTGTAAAGAATTTTTCCTCCTTGTCATTTCTAATTGTGTGTGTGTGTGTGTGTGTGTGTGTGTGTGTTTCTTTTGTCTTACCTATGTAAGCTTGCGGCTTGGCTATATTTTTTGTTTTTAAAGAAATTAGTTTTTAGATTTGTTCAATAACTATGATCTTTCTCCATTTTTTTTTTTTTTTT